GCCGATTTTTACTCGATTAGTACTCAATGTTCAGCAATCTGCACTTGGATCAGCTCCAGGCAACACACACACACAGCCAGGCCAAGGATACTACTGGTTCTGCTCTCCCTCACTGGTTGCCAACCCAAGACACCCCCACAGGCACCCCACAGCAAGGCCCCAGCCCCTGGTGATCCCGCAGTATAGTACAGGACAACACCAAGTGACAAAGCGCACTGCGACTCCACACAGCGGGTGCGCCCGCTTGTCGGCTATCGCCCAGTTGCATCACGGGCCTCGCGGTCATGCAGCCAGTCACAGGTCACTCCAAACGCCCTCGTTGGGGCTTACACGCCAGGCAGTTCGGTCCCTCGGCCCCACACCATGTGCAAGCAAAACGATTGGAACGCCCACAGCCATGCGCAACCCCTTTTCCTTCCCGGCGGTCCACTCAAAACGGGCCATCAAAAGCACCTGCCCCATCACGTGTGGCTTTCTAGCCTCCAGTCGCACCCACTGGCCCCTTCGTCCAATTTTTTATAGTATATTGTGCCACCCATCACCCTCACCCCGCACCCACGTGACAACCCGCCCCCCGTACTCCGCCGGATCACCTCCACTCCCCCGGGGCGCACCCTGGCTCCTGCTCCCTGCGCCTGCACTACTCCCCGCTTGCCGCTTGCTCGCCGGCCGCCGAGCTGGCTCAAATCTCCTCGGGCTCCTCCTTCACGGAGGGCCCCGCCACCTCCGTCCAATCTGAGCCGATCGCGTCAGCTGCATCGGTGCCTCCGACTCCGCCGGCCTCACCGCCCGCGTCACTGCCCCAAGGCCCACCAGGGCCCGCCGCTTCGCCGCCAACGTCCTCCATCGACTCGCCTTCACTCTCCGATGGCAGCGCGCCGCTTTCCCCCTCACTTCGCGCGTCAAATGGCTCGGTCGGCGCGGCGCCATTCTCCCCGAAACCGGCACCATTCAGCACCCCCAAACTTCCGCCGCTCACCACGCCCCTCGGCCTCTCCATCGGGACCATTGTGCGCAACATCGCATCATCAATAGGCGGCCTCGCCACCGCGCCACCATACCTGGCCAGAGCGACCTCGAGGCCGCGCATTGCCTCGCGCGCGGCCTCCGCGGTGGCCTCCAGCTCCACCGCACGCCCATCATCTTCATCGAGCGGGCGGCTCAATGCAGCGGTCGCCACCGCTCACGCCTCGCACGCGGCTCGCTCAGCCAGCCTTCGCCCACTTCTCCGGGCCCGCGCGTCCCACTCGCGCCCCGATGGAGGCACCTTGCATGTCCTTGGGGCTGCGCTTCGGCTCGGCCCCGGTGTTGTCCGACCGCCCGCCCCCGGGCCCGCTATACGGAACCCGACGCCACCCAGGGGGGTGAGTAGCCATACCAGGGTTTCCTGGTATGGCCAACCCCCCCGGGTGACCGGGATCGTAGCTTCAATGCGGCATAGCTCGGGGCACTGGCAGGCCCCCGAGAGTGGGAGCCATTCGGCAGGCCCCCCCTCCTCGAAGGGCCGCTGCCAGACCGCCGACCACGCGGTGGCAGAAGGTCTGAGGGCCATGGGCAGAACTACTGACCAATGGCACCACCACACTATATATAGTGCAAGGAAATAAAATGCATGCACACCAAACTACAGCACTTCTTCAGTGCTGCTGTGAGGGCAACAATCAGCGTTTCAAAAGAATTACTAGTAGATGGGCATCAAGCCTCGTGTTGGTGAAACACAATAGCTTCTGGGTCAGGCGGGAGCTGCGCTTAATGAGTTTGAGAACGTTTGCATAAAGGCTTAAGCGTTGTGGAAACCTTGGGACCAAAGGCAATGCGGACGGAATATAAACATTCGAACACAAAGTTGGCGGGCATGCCAGAATTGGGGATGACTCACCAATTTCTGGCATGACCCTTGGGATTCCCGGGCGGGCACCTATAAATATGGGTGCACTCCGCCCATTTTGTAACCGTGAGATTTCCCGTTCCTTGGGTCCCGAATTGGACCAACGGGCCCGGAGTTGCTGCCAAGGCTCCGTGCCCCTTACAGCTGCATTAAAGTATACATTTTATCAAGGTGAACCAGCCCCTTTTTCAGAGGGTGTTTGGCAATATGCAAGTCCCTTTTTTAGGAACCAAACACTCACCACTTTCAACCAAATATACTACATACTTTTTAGCATGTTTTTCCTACAAACCAACTTGCTCCAAACGGTGTAGGGAATACAATTTCTTCTCCAAAAACTGCCCTAACCCATCTCAGAATCTCATAGCTCTTTTTTCAGGAGCTGTTGGATCAATGCACGCATCCCTTTTCCAGGGATTAATCGTGCACCTATCACAATCAAGCGACAAACATGCTTTTTTAGCGTGTTTCCACAAACAGGTCATAAACTTTAGTTTCTTATTCAGAAACTGATCCTGTAGCTCTTCACAACCTCACAGCCCCTTTTCCAGAAGCAGCACCACTCTTTCAGTGGTGAACATGAACCCATCCGAGCCAATATCAAGGGCAACACCACTTTTCCAGTGGCAGCCGGAAAACAACCACTTTTTCAGTGGTATACATTCACCATTCCCATCAAATTTCACAAGCTACATCACTTTTTCAGTGTCAACCACGCATAAACACTTTTCCAGTGGTATATATCAACCAAGGCTGTATTGCTTGTATTATTGGCAGCACCACTTTTACAGTGGCAAGTAACCTTCAGCCACTTTTTGAGTGGCAAACACCATTTGCATCAGTTCCATAACACCAAAAGGGTGCCTGAGCTGGAAAGGCACATCAGCTCAGTGCCATGCCGGGGAAAGAGACATCCAGGCATGCTCCCTAAGGCACATGCCTGTAAACTGAGCGGCTGGGGGCACAGCCCCACAAACGCACATTTGGGTGACCCCATGGCTGGAAAGAACCATCAGCCAACGGAGTACAACCCCATGTGCGCCCAAACCAATCATGGACACTCCAACTGGTCCAAAACTCCTTGTTCATGAGTCTTTCCTTTTCTCTATCACCTGTTCAGTGACTTTTTCACATTCTCTCTGGCCCTATCACTTATTCAGTGATACCCAGAGTTGTCACTTGTTCAGCGACAAACTCAGCTTTTGGGATAACCGAAGAGTGGGCAGGCTGGGCAACACACCAGCATAGCCCCATGCTGAGGCAAGACACTTCCCAACATGTTCTTGGGGCCCAAACAACTGAAGAATACGGTCGGGAGCTCAGCTCTAGGACCGTTAGTTCAGACCCTACCCATATCTGGAAAGAGACATCAGCATATGGGACAGAATCTGAAGCAAAATGGTGCGATGTGATGGCTGGCAATACAGCCAGCACGTATGTTTTCTCCACAACAATATTGCAGCTGTGGTTGACTGATGAATAAATGAACACGTGCAGCCTTAGCAAGGGGTAGTCCACCCTGGAAAGAGACATCAGGTGTGGGCCCAAGCTTTCAATCATGCACGGTTCTTTTCCAGCCTCTTTCAGGCCAGCAACCTCATAGCCTTGCGCATTTGGCTTTGAGGCTGGACACACGCCCAATCTGGACGGTATCCTTATTCATGACACATAGCCCCACCAAATATTGAGAGCCGCGGTCAATATTGGTGAGGCAGCTTCTACTAAAATACTCTTGCAGCGTAGGGTGTCGCTCAGTCGTCACCAAGCGCCCCTTGAGGCAATACTCCTCTCAACTTTCATGACTAGCTTGCTATATCATCAAAAATGCAAGCCCTTGACCAGTTTTTGTTTTTGTTTTTGCTTTTTTCTCTTTCTAGCTGGTGGTGGCATACTCGGGCCATTCCACACAGTCAGCATGCGTGTCAGACGTGAGTCCCTCGCCAGCTGAATCATAAATGACTCACCCAGTGAAACGGTGGTCATTATGCAGCTGCGCGAACAACCCCAGAATAGCACCAGTGCTATTCGCGCAGAACATTGTAGTGTTGCAGTGATGCTATTTGGCGTAGGGATAGCACCCACCATTGCGGATGCGTGCAGGGGAGCAATAGCACCGGTGCTATTCGGCAAATGGCGCCTTAATAAGGTGGCACGGCAGTCAATGAGAACCGTTCCTGTATAGCTCCGCCGGTGCAATAGCACCGACCGATAAAGATGCTCTAACGACTCGCAGCTCGAACATGACGAGTACCAGCATATGCATTTGCCACCCATCACCCGTGCAGAGTACTCCAGTGCCGTGGTCACCTTCCATGGGGTGGATGGCCCTTCCACATCCCAAGGGGCGCCCCTGCCCTTGTGACCGCGTCCTACCACACGCGTCTTTGTCATGGAGATCCAAAATCCTCAGTGCGGCGGGGGTCCGGAGTACGTCAGAGAGTCGCGCCCTGTGCCTGTTCGCATTCCTCCCAACTCCGGGCTTGTTGCCCCCAAGGAGCACCCTTTCCGCTTGGGGCCCTACGATGACGCCCCTTCGCGAAAAATCACTCCTACAGCTGAAGCCCATCACCCCCATCACCCTAGTAGTAGGCCACGAATATTCCCCGGATCATCCAGATGCTCTCGTCATGTTGCTGGCCGTCGGGCCCGGGGGCCCTGCCGTCTTGCGGCCGGCCCCCCAGGCCGACAACTGCCCACGGCCGAAGAAGCCCTCCTGTACATTCCCCGGGCCAGCCTGCCGGTGGCCGGACCGGGAGACGCTTGACCATGGCCACGTAAAGTGACCCAGCGGGCCAAAACTTGGGGCGGGCCTGGCGCGTGGAGGTGGGCTCGAGATTCGTCACCGCAAGCGGCTGGCTGGCGGCGATCACCCGGGGCCAGGCCCCAGTCCTGCCCCCCTGCATCGGGCTCCTGGTCCCCCTCCTCCGCCCTCCCTAAGCCCCTCTACCCGCGGCAGCCGTCCCGCCGAACCGCGTCCGCCGTCACAGGCGTCGCGACCCGCACCCAGCGCGCGCGGTCGCCGTTCGAAGCGCCGGGGGGCAGCTGCCGCGGGAGGGGAGGCTCAACAGAAAACAAAACCCGAATTTTGAGGCCCCGGTGGGGCCACGCAGACATGGACGCTGGCGCGCCCGAAAAAATGGACGGGTGGGCGCCGGGGAATGGCAATGGGCTGTCCAGCGACCTCAACCAGCGATTCTCCACGGCCATAATGAACTTCAACGCCGAGCTATCGGGCTGCAGGACGGGCGCCCTCGTGCAGGTGGGCCCGCCGCGCCGTCGGAAGAACTCCCCCCACCACCCCATCCCCCATCCCGCAATGCGGGGAGTCGTCCGTCCCGGCGCTGTGGACTTTCTGGTGGCTTCATGGACTGAGAGCGGGCCCTGTCTGCTGCTGCCGGGCAGGTCTGGATGCCCGAGATGTGCCGCGACGGGAGCATGGTCCTCCAAACAAGGGTACGCCGCGCATGCTCCACACGGAATTGGGCAGTGAATGGCAGTTTCCGGATCGATGGCCCGCCGGGGTTGGCCCACGGGATTCGACCGGTGCTATGTGGGCTGCCCCAGGGGCAGTTTGCCTGGTCGACTGATCGGTGCGCTGTCTGGCGCTGCGCGAGCAGGGCCTGCCCTTCTCCATCTCCGGCGTGGGCGACCTTCTGGCGCTCTTTCGCTGCGTCTCTTGCCGCTACCGCTTCGCCACGGACGTGTCCAAGCCTCACCTCATGGGCGTCATTGGCCGGGTCTTCTCCAGCGGGCAGGTGCGCCGGCGCAATCCACCCCCCTGGCCATTGCCACGGCGGGCCCGCCGCCCTGGCGAAGCCCTCACGGGCATTCGCGCGGCCGCCGAGGCCCCACGATCCCCCACATGCCGCTTGGCACTCGCCTCTAGCCGGCGAGGACGCACCAACCCCAAGTCACCGCATTCCCGGCCAAGTCCAGTTGGGCGCTCGCCGAGCGAACGCTCCGTCGTGGACAATCCCCGTCGCTTGTGCTTGGCAGTCGGTGACGCCCGCCCGGCTTGTCTTGTTGACCGCAGCCGGAGCTGTGCTACGACGTCCAGCGCTACGATCGCAACGTGTACCTGCGGGCCAGCGAGGCGCAGCGCTGCCGCGTGCACTCCACGATGGTCACGCCCGTGTACACGAGCGCGGAGAGGGAGGGTGCCGTGTCGGTGGTGGAGGTGTCGCACCACGACAAAGACGTGAAGTTCCCCGAAATCATCAACCGCCTGTCCAGCTGCCTGGAGGTGAGTCGCGCGCCGCGGAGGCGACTGGGCGGCAGCAACAGGAAACCCGCCTGCGTCAACCGTGCGCGCCGATTGTGAGAGCGGCGCAGTCGTGGAGTTTTGTTTGGCGCAAGCTGCAGCTGTCAGCTTGGAACCCAGCGTGCGCAGTGGATAAAAACATGCACACCACACCGCAGAGCAGGGGATGGGCGGTCCCGCCCTCGGGCCGGGTCGTCGCGGCCGCCGGGGTACCGGCGGTGGATCCGATGTTGGGGGCTGGGGGCGCGCGCGTGGTTCGCGAAGGACGACGCTGGAAGGTCCTGGGTCTCGGGTTTCTGAGCGAATGGGTTTGGGTGGTGACCCATTGCATGGACGGGTGAATCGTGTCGCGCAGCTTGGCAAGACTTGGTGGTGAACTCGTGTATGTGCATCGCTGCCGATTGTTATAGTCGGGTGAGGACTGACCCATTGATCCTCGGTCCCTCCGAGGGCGTCTCTGCAATCTTGCAACGAGCCTTGAGCCCGCATTTGTGGTGCCTGCAGAGCGTGCAGTTGTACATGGCCGAGATGGACATCAACAATGTGCCGATCGGCCTGCGCAACTGGGCAGTGGACGTTGGGCAGATGGCCAGGGAGACGGTCGTCAAGGCAGAGTCTGAATTTGGCCGTGAGGGCGATGGTGCGCCTGCAGGGTTCGATCCGACAGTGTGGGCTCCAGATGGGAACCAGCAGGAAACAGGTAGCGAGTGAAAAGGATGATTCGCTGCTGCGAAAAGGAAGCATGCATATGTGTTGCACACATCTGCTGTGGGCCTCCTTCAGTGCACTTGCAGGGCGGTCCCAGCCAGCAAGCACTGTTTGTCTGTCCCTCGCATGGGGAATGGCAATTGCCAGCAGAATCGCTGTGGGATGCGCTCAGAAAGGACTGCCCTGGACTCATGCGCAACTTTGGCTTGCTGGAAGACCTTGCTGCTCAGCCTTGGATGTGCATTTGCAGAACTACTGGACTGCATTCTTGGTGTGCTGACTGTCGTGTTGATGACTTTGGGAGCTCAGCATGGAATCTTACACCAGTATGCGGTGTGTGCGATCTTTGGAATGTACATAAGTGACCACAGATGGATCGGAACACCGATCCTGTGGGCTTGTGTAGTCTTGTTTGAGATGTCTGGTTTGGTTCCGCAGGCATGGATGGGCATACTGGATCGCAGATGGGATGGACTGCCCCATCAAGGTCCATCCCACCTCGAGGACAGTCATTGCCATATGGCTCTTCTGCTCCTGGCATCAGGATCCCACCCAGAGGGGAGTTTGTGTCCAGAAGTGCTTCAGGACCCATTCCGAGGCCCGTCCTTCCAGTCAGGAGTGGCTACGTGTGCAGAAGCCATTCAGGACCGTTGACACGTCCAAGGTAATGGCAAGGACAGAGTGTTTCTGGCTTTTGTGTCATGATCACATGGATGCGAAGTGCTGGGTGCCGCTGTCTTCATGCCAGTTCCGTTGTTGTGGCTTCCAACAGTTCTGAGGGAAGGCCCCAAAACTGCAGCTGTGTACAAGGGGCACAGTTCAGTCGCTCAAGTGAGATGCCAATTGCCTCACCAAGGCCCTGTGCACTCTGGCATTGGAACATTGTCACAGTCAGGCAGTTAGGCTTGCAGGAGATCTGGCTGCAGTGTCTTATGCTCTGGGTGTGGGCTACTGATGGTCGTATGTGTTTGGCTCTGCAGCAACTTGCAGGGCATGCCTAGCACTGGTCAGGGTATCCTCAATGCGGACTGGGCACCTGGAACTGGCAGCCCACAGGGGGGCTTCTCTGTGTGCCAGTCTATGGCGCCACAGCCTGCAGCATTGCCACCTATTGGCAATGTTATGGATCAAGACCCAACATCCACAGGACTGGAAGTTTTCAACAGCCCACCTCCAGCATCTTCTCCATTACCGAGCATCGATGTGCCACCCCAGCCAGAGCTGTATTCCAGCGAATCGGATTTCTCAGATGATGATGAAGGCGAAGATGCTGACAACGAGAAGAATGGCACATCGCAAACACGGGGCACGAAGCTGGAGGCCGATGCTGATGGCAAGCAGTTGGACAAGACTGGGTCGTCTGGTCAAGGCACCAAGAATGACAACCGGCTGGGTGGGGGAGCAGGGAAGCGACTAACCTTCAAAGACCTGCAGGTATGACCCTTTGGGAGGTCTGTGGCCATCTGGCCTGTGCATCTGTGGTCTTGCTGAGTTAGAGTGGTACCGGCTCCTGACAAGCTGTGGATTGTTTGTCATGCCCTTGGTTGGTACCCTGTGTAGGGATGCTTTGGTGTTGGGCTAAAGGAGGCCGCAGCACAGCTGGGCATCTGCCCAACGACCTTGAAGCGAGCCTGCCGAAGGAATGGCATCTCGCGCTGGCCTTCGAGGCAGATCTCAAAACTCAGCAAAGCGTGGCACCAGATGGGATATCAAGGGTCGCCACCATCATGGCTGGTGCGGAAGGCGATTACTGGGAACCTGAAGTGCGACAATCTGGTGTTCTCCCTAAATGCAGGTGTGAGATCAGTTGTATCTGGTACCTGGTATTGTGGCATGGTGGGAAACATGTGTGGTAATCTTCTGTATGCACCCCTATGCAGACATTTTGTTGGCAATACCACATGCGCTCTCCTGCCTCGCTCCCTTGCAAATCAGTTGTTTTTTGTTTGCCCTACATTGGTTATTTTCATTCGCATCGATCAGTGCCAGTACTGGAATGCTGGAAAGATGCAGTTGCCATGGTATTTGTGGTCGATGGGGCAGATTGTGGCCATGGTTGCACCACACTTGCATTGACGTGATTGCATTGTATCCTGTGTAGCAGATGATGTGCATTCAGGAATGTGCTCCAAGAACACCAGTTGTGCTGTGTAGACATGTAATGCAAGAAATGACTATTGCCCAGACTGTGCACAGGACTATCTTGAGTACAATAGTGCATGCCCGTGTGGCCACATTGCTGAGCCATCCTTCAAACCCATGTCAGCAGATGTGGCGATATAGCTACCTGGGCAAAGATGCTTTTTGAATGATGGCTGTTTGCAGTTGCCAACATTCTTGAGCACTTCTTCGGTATTCCTATGTTGGGCTGGCCTGTATGGTCCCAACAGAATGTTTCTCTCAGCAGGGAAGTGCAGGAACAGTGTTGCACATTTGGTTGTTGGGATCTGCTGTGCACAAAACCAGCTCATTGTGTCCCATGTTGTCTGAAAGACGGCAAACTGGTGTTGCCTGGTTGCATTGTGAGTATCAAAAGAACTTGAGAACTGGCACCGCTGACCTTCACAAGTGGAGGTTGTCCTGCCTCAGGTTGGCCTTTAGGAGTGTTAGGCTGACCGAACACTCTCTCGCGCGCTCACACACAGTTGCTCCTCAGGCATGGGAAGCGAGGCCGCCAAGCCGATGCATTACAAGACAAGCACATCAACAAAATAGTGCTCACAGGAAATGTCCCCATTTGGTAACCACCATTCCCTTGTTCACCATGCTTCTTTATCATCGTTTTCATAATGTTTAACCACTCCATATTTAACACCATTCACCTTATACTTATCCACCATATACTTATCCACTGGGTCACAGGGAGCATGCTCTGAAACAGCACGCTGCGCTCATTTGCAGGATTGCATCTTGGATTGATACAAGCAGGCGCCACACAGCCATCAGCGGGCCCTCGGCCGCCACAGGGCTGGAATGTTGTGAACAGGCAGCGTACTGTGCCTGTTCCATCAGCCACAGTGCTACCAGGAGAAGCTGACCTGCAGATGGGGCAGCAGGCTTGCCAGTTGGGACCTTCAGCATGCCAGTTGCCTCCCTTGCCCACAGACCAGGTCTGCATACACACACAGTCGTAGTGTGTCCCAGGGATAAAATGGAATCTGGTATTCAGCTTGGTGTGGTCTGTTGTGGGCCGGGCCCAGCCTGTTGGCTCCTCAAGACATGCCATTGCCAGCATTCAGCATGTGTAACAGGAGTGTTGCAATTTCATGAAGTTTATGGTAAACTGTTCCTGTTGCTCTTAGTGTGCACCCCTGGTCCACGCACTGGACAAACTTCTTGTTGCTTGTTACATGATGGGTTTGCATATGTATCCAGCTATGCATTCAAAGGTTTCAAAATTCTCAGCTTCAAGTATCAGTTCCCGACATGGGGTCGCAGGTGCCTGAGCGAAAGCTAAAGGAAGAAGAGGGGGATCCACATGCAGTGCATAAGTATGCTGTGCTGTTGTTTTGTAGCCGGACTTCTTCGACGAGATGGCTGGAATTTTGCAGGAACCAACAGGCACTCCAGTGTGGCAATGCCCCAGGCCTGCCACTGGCTCACTGCAGGCTCTCAACCCTGAACATGAAGCACGCCGTGTGTTCCGATCCAACTGCACTTATGGGACGCAGTCCTTCCAGACCGGGTCACCTGATTTCGGGGGAGGTGACTCCAGGCAGCACCAGGGGAAGGAACAGCTGATCCCAGTGCCTGTGTTGACAGCTTTTGATGGTCTAGGGGACAGTTTTGCAACAGACGTCGGTTTTGCAAACGCGCTGAGCAGGGTGGCGATGGAAAACGCTGCATTCAGTGCGGTGGAAGGGAGTGCAGGCGCCAACGAAATCGGGATTACCAGCGGCCTCTTTTAATTTCTTGAGGCATTTAATAATGTGAAGGGTTGAAGGGAGGTTGGTCGTATGGCATACCTAACAGGTGGTGTTGACATGGATGGCCTGCTCAAGGTTCTTGTTGAACAATTGTTGTACCAGGCCTGTGAGGGATGGAGAGGTGATTATTGTGAAGGGTGACGAGCAGGTTGTGGAAGCAAAGGAATGAGAACGCTGTCAAACTTGAGATGCTTTGCATTCATGCCGCCCCCGCATGCAGTGGGTGGGTTGTCAATTAGCTCATCTGCTCGGTGTGTGAGCGCGCGCCATCCAGTAGATTAGTGTGTGGAGCCAGAGGTGGGCTTTGGGCCGAATAATCAAGTAAATGGCCATGTGCAGGGTGATGGGAGGTGAAGACCAGCGAGAATGGTTTTTGAATTGTGGCGGCCAGCTTGCTTCTTGTTGTCAAGTCCACTTAGAGTAATAGACGACCGGCTGTACGCTCGGCAAAGATTAACGACGGCGGAAAATGTCGGTGTGAATTTGGGATGGGATTAGCCCAAAAGGGCATCTTTTACTCTGACAGAGCAAGAGATGTTCGGCTGGTGAGTGGTCTGCATATGTCCGTTTGTGTCCATAATTCATCAGGCGTTATCGCCACAGGTTTGGAACAACTGCGTTCCGAATCTTGTCCAAAATGAGGTCGAACTGTGTCTTGTAGCTGCGGAATGAGTAGTGGGGTATGCGTGGAATGGCTCTTTGTTAGAAGGGAATGAGTTGTGGTTCGGTGTTGGACGGGGGTGTTGGAAGGAATTAGATTGACGACGGAGCCCATGGCGACTTGGGGAAGGAAAAAAAAACAAGAAAAACACGTCGGTGCTATCAAGGGAAATTTCTAGTAGAAATTTTCTACGTCTACAGCAGCATTTGTCACCATTGTATTGTAACGGACGATTGGGGCTACATAGTGTGGCCACTGTTACCAGCGGATTGCCTGGCGCTAAAGTGACCTTGGTTGGCCGTAACAAAGGCAGGCAGCTGGGATGTTGCCTGCATGTGCGGATTGACAATGCCGTATTGCGTGCGTTTGTGGAGGGTTTGGGTGTCTAGAAGCGCTTGTGGAAGGCTGTGCTGCCGGAAGCATCCGTGAATGGGTGGATGGAATGACGGCTGCATAAGCCAGGGTTCTTTACGTGTCGTGGCTGTGAGCCTGCTGGGCTGCTGGTGGTGTGTGGTGTCGTGCTTGTAACGCCCCGTTACTTCTTCCACTCCAACGTTCTGTTGTCGGATTTCCCTGTGCGCTTGCAGTCTTGTGAGCCACAAGGGGAGGGGGCGAATGGCTGGGAAGGGTTGATCGGACGACTGCAACGCACTGTACCGCTTTCTAGGGCGCGGCACTGGGCCTCCCCAGACGAGATACGAATAACGCGACTCTGCGCGGCCTCGGGCCGTTGCAGATGGTTTGAATGACAGAAGACGTTTTCTTCAGGGTGATGTTTGCTTGGGACGCGCATGCAGCACCACCAGGCCCGCTGAATTTATACCCATTCTTCGTTTACTTTTTTTGTTGTTTGGGCGCAGTCATTGCTATTGCCCCACTTGTCGTGCGCTGGGAGAAGGCACACCTTGGGCGGGCTCCTGAATGAAGGATTTAACTGAAAAGTGAGGATGGGTACAGTGCGGCAGAGTGTCTCAGATGAGTTGGTGAATGTCCACATCCGATCCGCCCCAGTATTGTAAGCAATGCTTGGTGTGCCGCAAATGAAATTAGTCTCTTCCTCTTTTCTCTACGGGGCGGGTGATTGCAATGTGCTGCCGCCTGCACTGGCCCATGGCTGTACAAGCCATCACCCAAAGGCCGTGTTCCGAAACCCTTCAAGATGAGCGCCTTCCATTTGGAAATATCCCTCCTGGTGTTGCTTTGTGCGCCGAGGCCTTTGGGCGTGCCAATGTCTCCATTACCGAGTATCGTCGATCTTATGCTATTGCAACGGTCGCGCTGAAGCATGGAGAAGTCTTGATTACGTCAGGGAAATAGCCTCCACCAGCGTCATTGGTGGACCTCGCCTGTTGGACATCAAATTTCCCGTTCCTTCACGATATTCCGCACCATGGAAAACCTTGCTCTTCATCCTGGATGTTGCCATTGTTGCACGGCTATTTTGGAATTGCTTCAAGCGTGAGTTCCGATTTTGGGCTCGATGCCTCCAGCCGGAATTGGCAACACGAATGTTCCAGCGCGCTCTCCAAACCCTGGAGGTCAAGGCAGCCGTGTATGCCACGATATTCATCAGATAAGCAGGCGCCGAATGTGCTGCGCCCCGGGACCCCGATGGTGGGTCGCAGCACACAGCACACGATGGTGGAGTGGGGACAAGACTGTAGTTTACAATACTAACATGTTCCAAGCCGGCTCCGTCCAGAACAGAGCCCCCATGCCCTTGCAAGGTGCGGCCAGCACTCAATACAAATTTGCCTGTGCAGCCGGGTATCCCGTGATCCCAACTGGTTGGGAGCAGGCTGGTGAACAGAATAGGGAGGCGTTGCAGTGGCAGCAGCGGCAGCTGCTGCTGCGTTGGCAGCTGCGTAGGCCTGATGGTAGGCTGCTGCATCTGCTGCCGGCTGATACAGCAACTGGGCAGCAGCGGCACTGGGCTGGGGCGGCTGGGGCGGCACTGGCTGCGCTGGCCATGGCCGCACTGGGGCCGGCGCTGCCTGGGGCATGTACCAGCCAGGGGCAGCAGGGGGCACAGGCGGTCTGGCTGCTGGCACAACAAGAAAGCCTTCTCAGCCATTGGGAGTGCGATGCATTAGTAGCATGTTGCAGACATGGGCTTGGTCCCACCAGCAGCCGCACTACGCCCACAACAACTCTAACCAGGCAGAATCAAGAGAGGCATACAGAAGTGCCCAGGGGGCTCATGGCCTGCAAGCTGTTCTGGAATGTCTTGCAGCAATGTGAAAAGCACCTGGTTCTTACTCCACACTCCCAGAGCACACTTCATGTTCTTACATTCGCTGGCAGTGCATCACCAAGCAGCTAAAAGCTTTGCTTGGGGGCCTTTGAAGGCAGTGCCATGGTGCCAGTGTGCCAATGTGAGGGCCCATTGCCAACCAGCTGCTTCCAATATGAAAGATCACTCACATACTTCTTCCGCTGGATGCCTGAATAGCTGAATGCCATTCATGCACACCCAGAGCTGAACTTACCTGGCATCGGTAGCTGTGGCACAGGCATTGCATAATTCGGCTGGACTGACTGGCCAGTCAAGGATGCCATGGCAGCTCGTGACAAATCTTCGTGGGCCTTTTCGTAATCCAGCCCTGTGCCAAACACATCAACTGAAGGATCCAAGATGTGACAGACATGTGCACAATGTTCAGGTTATGTTGGCAATACATTGATCCGCAATACACCAGGGAATGTAGATGGTTTGCAAGTACACCATCTGCTTTGGCGAAGTCCAAATTCGCCCATGCCCCATCCACTTAGTGCCTTCGTGAGCTACTTTGGCAAGTTGAGGCTGGCAGGAACATCACAAGCAGAGCTGAGATGCGCAGATTCCCAGCATGCACGCCCCATGGGCTCATCAAGGTACCCAAACTGCAAGTTGTACAAAAAACGGCTACAGTGGGCTGGCCTGCATATCTCTTCAATTTGCGGCAGCCAGCAAACTTCAAGAACATGTCTGCAGGTATCAAGTGTCTCACCAGTCACATTAAGCCCTTCGCTTGCATTCTGGTATGTGCTCTGTGAAACTGCTGGCAGTGCTCCTGGCGTCCCCCACCGGGCAGAAGGTTGTGAGGCTGCTGGCGCAGCTTGCGAGATCGCTGCTGTGGCTGCTGAAATCGCTAAGGGATGCGCAGCTGGTGCTGTTGCTGCTGCAGGCATTGCTAGGGGATGTATCCCAGAAACTGGTGGCTGAGCCTGGGCCTGCATCCTGAATGAATTCCCCAACTCTTCCTCAACTCTTCAGCCGGGTACCCTGTGAATGCCACTTACACTTGAGAGCACATCTCGTGTGCACAACCATGCAGGCAGTATGAAGCTCATGACGAGGCATGTGCTAAGCAGGGCACCAGTCCGTCAACTTGGGAATTGCTATGGTTCTCTTGTAGGGGTCCTAATGTCACAGCTGAAGTGTATGGTAGAGAGACCCAGCAGCGGAACCTGTCTCTAAGCAAGGCAGCATGCTCCTCTACTCAAACTCAGCGAGTGGTGGATGTGGATGGAATTGGCTAAGCACTCCACACAATGCTAAGGTCTCACGACGTATTGTTATCGCCAATGCTCAGGTGGCGCTCCAGCACAGAAGCGGCCAAGTGCGCCATGTGCACAACTGTTGGGGGTGGGCTAAAGCTGCGCATCAAAAGGGAACTGCCGTGCAAATCCGTCAGCCCTTGGTCCCGGTTGGCAGCGCTGATCAGATGTGGCTGAGGATGCCCGATCACGAAAAGACGCGACACGTCCATCGTCCGTAGCACAACTGCGGGGCATGAAATTGGATGCATGCCAGTCCTTTGCTGTTACACGAAGCGCCGGCAAGCTTGGGGACAGGCGAGGAACGGAGACAACCGTGGGAGGCGCCACTGTGCGCGCACCTGTGTGGTGTCCAGCCGCAGTCACCCTTTGTGGTTGGGAAGCCCTTGCGTATAGCGCTCCGGCAGCGCCAGCAACGAGCGCTCGGACGCAGAAGGCACTGTTGCAGAGGACTTCACTTGTCAAAAGAAAATTCCCGCGAAGTTGAATTTGGGGTTTGATGGTGATGTGGTAACTAGAGTACAAGTAAGAACCCACCGGCCGCCACGCGCCGGCGCGGTTCTAGGGAATAGCCCAGCGGGTGGCCGGAGGGCGCGGCAGGCATCATGCAGCCGTTTGGGTCCGTTATTAACAACTGGACGCATAAGGAGGTCATGAGGCATAAGGAATTGCACTATGGACGTCGATGAACGGATTGGATATAAGGGAAAGAACCCCTGTTGTCCCTTTCGTTGGCTGTAAACCGTTGCTATGTACCCGAGTATGCGGTCCCCAGTCAGGGGTCGCCACCGCTCGAAACTCTTTGGCTTCGTCAATGATGGACCATTCATGCAGAACGGATATATCACCACCATAACGGCCAGAAGCTCTGCAAGGTGTGCCAACTATGTTCAGAGTTACGGCCAAACTCAACTGCAACCCGTGGCCCACTGTGTGGAATCACATAGGGCACCTTGCTGAATATGTTGCTCTGCACATTTTCTTCCTGGAATTTAGCAGGCCTGCGATAGCATGCATTAGCTAGTGGTACCACGCAAGGAGCATGGTCATGCGCAGGCATCCTAAAGTGCGACAAAATGACATGCGAACCATGCCTGGAACATCAATACCTGGCTGATGCGGCTCAAGCGGCGCGATCAACAGATATGCAAGGAGAATGTTGCATGAATGGCTGGAAAATCTTAAAAAATGTTCGGGGAACCAACCACTACGCTTGATACGGGACACAACGTTCCAAAGCTGCAGAAAATTTCACAAAGAATTCGCTAGAACTTCCTCCCTTTGTGCGAAGAAGGGCCTTTACATGCTATGGATCCTGGAAGAGCTTGTTATTAAGCACTGTAGAGAAAATGGACGAGTTGTGAAGGCAAGGAAATCTTTTGCATTGCAAGAATCCCTATTCATGGCTTTCCAATGCAACACATGGATATGTTAACAAAGTTCAAATGGCTTGAGTTTGCACCGGAATAATCAAATGCTAATTTTGGCGAGGGACTGAGGCGATTGGACACATTTACGGCTCAGTTGACGCTGAGAGGAGAGGGACCTGGATGCTCGATGCCGAGAAGATATGTCAAAATGAGCTGAAATGGATATATAATTAACTATCCTGTTAATAAGTTTTTGCCAAGGACGACATTGGGTGGGCGCGCAATGGCGAGTCTGGGCCGTTCTGCCCCTTCAGAGCCATCACACGGCCGGTTTCTGTCAACCCCTATACGTGGGGTCAGTTCTGCCCATCGGATCCAAGGGCAGTTGGGGTGAACCTTGTACCTTGGGCGTAGACAAGGGGATGGTCAAGCTGGCCCTTGGGTTTGGCGGGGAGTTTGGCAGCAAGTGGGAGGGGCCATTTTAGGTGCGACCTTTGGCGCCCCCCCTATCTTGTTTCGCACCCACCCGGCCCACCCTAATAGATTGAGTTTCGGTTTGCTATGGGAAGGAGAGGGAGTTGAGTTACTCAACTTCAGTATGAGAAAGGGGGAGCTGACTTAAGGTTGAGTCACCATTAGGGTGGCATTGAGTACTATGCAAAGCGTTCAAGTGGATCGCTAATCGGGTCTTGTATTAGTGAGGCGATGGACACCAAATTGTGTGAGTGTAATATATTGTCGTGTGGGGAACACGGGGGTTGGGGGTGAGGGGTTTAAAGGAGGCCGGTGTGGCAGAAATGTCTCTACACAGCGCCCATACTTCATTTTCCCTATTCCAGAAATGACGAGGAGTCCTGTATTAACTTTCCACAACCAGATACAAAACTGGTGGTATGGCTTCCTCTCTGGAGCTCCTGGGCAGCGGGGACATAATCACAACATGGCGCTCATCAGTGGTTTTAGGACAAAATGCTAGAAACAGCGAGCGATTGCCGTCGGGGATGCACATTTGATAAAGAGCGAGCCAGCATCACTAGATTATTTGTTGTGGCAAGCTGGACATTGTTGCATGTACTGTGCACTGCCTTTGTGCGTTATGGCTGTCGCCACAATGGCTATCGCTGTGTATTTTGCATGGCAGAATAGGTTTAGCAAAATATTTCAATATTGTTCTTTGAGGTTAGAAAAGCGAAAGTCGTGTACAACAAAAATCTCTGTTTTATATTCGGCGTTGGGAATCCAGCTTGGCATAAGGGTAGAAGCTAGATCAATATTGGTATACTTGGCATCAAATTGACGCCAGGGAGAGGGAGGTTTGGGGTGGGGTGGGGGGTGGGGGGCGGCGACCTGTGATGGTAACGGATTATATTATTATCACAAATTCTACATAACGAGAGAAGGTGCCCAAAAAATGCCATTGATAAGTAGCAAACAACCCATGACTTGTTTCTAAACCTCCTGCACATGTTCGATCTTCAAAGAAGGCTTTAGATTGGAAGAATTTGCAACCATTGAGGCTGCCCGCCTTGCCAAAAATGGCATATGGAATCCCATTTTTTAACCCACTGAAATTAGCACAACTTTGATTGTTTTTTATCCTTAAAACCACGTATAAGTTGTACCCCATCGCCAGGTAGGGTTGTTGATTGATCCTTGCATCGACATAAAGATTGATGCTAGGGGTGGGTGGGAGTGGGGGGTGAGATTTTGCTACAAAAGAGGAAAAGAAATAGTTCACACAAAGGGCACCCCCTCCAGGGCAAGTGTATGTGGGTCTCTTTTCCATGTTGTAATGAAATGCTATAGAGCCTCCAACGCAAAGATGAGCACACAACACAAGCAAGTCATAGGCAGAAAAACATGCAGCCAGTGGGCGGGGGGTCTGAGCTTGGTGTCAAATTCACGCTCAGATCACAAAAATTGGCATATCATCTTATGTAAGACGATAGTCTTCAATATGACCGCAAATACAGTGGGCTTTGTTCGGCACACTGCAAAATGGCAAACAATTTACGCCATATTTACAGAAATTATAAACAAAATGAGCCGTTTTTGGTGCAAAGAAAGGAAATGGTTTAACCGCTCAAAAGGAGAAAAATAAAATGTAGTGTGAAGGGAAAACATGTGCATTCTATTATTTAACTTGTGAGACATCTTAAAAACATGTTTACTCACTCAGGGCCAATAGTTTAGAAATAGTACAAGTGGCAAGCATGCAAATAAGCTGAATGCACAGCTACCGTGTGATGTCTACCCTCAGCATCAGTTTGAGCCACGTGGGAATCGTGTTACACCACTAACTAGGCCACGGACCACACACTGGGTACCCCAACCTCTGTTGTGTGACTGTGTGGGGTTACCCTGGAAACCGCTTTGTGACCAGAAAGCATGACCACCGGGCCAGCCAGCTGTGGTCTTTCCATATTGTAGCATGGCTGCGGGACGCAAACTACTGGCCCACTATCCGACTGCCCATACAGCCAATAGAATGGCGACCAAAACATTGTTTTGGTTTTCATTTGTCAAATGAAAGTGCGCTCCCATTGGAGTGGTGGCGTAGCACCATATGCGCCGAGGTGGCGAAGGCGGGTGCAAGTTTAGTATCCTTCAGCACTGGCCTTTTGCACAAAGGCGACCGGAAATGGAGAGTGAGGGCGGTCATCCGCCGGATGGCCCAGCCCCTTGCGGTCGCGGAAGGGCCCATGACAGCCAGGTTGGGGGGCCGAACGGTGGAGAGGGAAGGTGCGAAGGGGGAGAGCACAAAACGGGATGTGCGCAGCCTGGAAAGTGGGCACATGGCAGAGCGGATGGATGGCCCCAACCCATCCGATCTCAAGAATTGGGCCGTTCGCCATGACAGAATGCAATCTCTGCCGGCGACCGAGTAGCATAGGGTGCGCTTGGCAGAGGAACATGCTACCGGCCTGAGTGGGAAAGTCTACCTCGAGGCGGTCGCGCAATGGCCGGCAGACCACGGGGCGGAGTTGGTGCAGAAGCAGGGTCCGCAGTTGGAGGAAGAAACCGGCGAGGAGGTACTCCTCGTCTGGTTTGACGTACCGATTACTGTGGAATACAAGGCGAACTGATGCAGGTCATAGCAAGAACCACGCGCGGGCTGCGTGCAAGAGAGCGCGAAACCCAACGAGAGACATTACAGAGTGTGCTCCGCGCACACTTAACCTGTTAATCAATGTACAATCGTGTATAATAAAATATATAATATACAAATGTTAATGTACAATTGTTTTAATATACTACCAGCCAATGTAAGTGGTGCCACCGGCATCAATTCTCCTTCTGGGGCAAAGT